CTTTCAAAGCAGGTGCTTTCTTTCACCATTTGCTTGATCAAGTGAGACGAGTCTACACCGAAAGTCATGAATTATTCATCACAAGAGAAGAATACACTGAGTGAGTTTCGTAATTAGCTGCAGGCTAGAAATTACCAGGAAGCAAGATCGTTGTTACTATGCAAACAAGAAGGGTTTCGAAGCCTTTCAAAAACATTTGTTCGGAGTGTGAATCTCATGCAGCAGCTACCAGAGGATGTTTTTGCAATGTGTTTAGTTCCAGAAGCCAAACAACTATGTCCATTAAAAGGGACTCTACTCTGAGTTTCTGTTCTTGTACTATCTGGCAACTGCATTTTTGTATTTGGCAACTATTCTTTCTTTGATAGTCACCAAAAGGCTACTTGGAATTTTTTTTAATTTTGAGCCCTGATGTAAATGAAATTTCTCTCTACAGGGTCATTGCTGTATCAAACATTATGGTCATGAGAATAAAGGAAATGATCAATAAGTTTTAGGCTCTGTTAAGTAATGGAGAAAGATGTTCTTTCATCTTATCAAGAGTGTGGGACAAAAAAAAAAAATTCAGAATCCCCATAAGGAGTCAATCTTCAGACCTTCAGATTTCATGCTTTGATGCTGAATTCTTTACCATCCCTTTTATTCTATAATTACAAACATGACCCTATTGACACTACTGATTCTAGCAGTATGAAGAATACGTATGAACTTTATGAGCCTCTCTCATCATTGAGTCTCTGGTTCAGAAGGAGAGCATCAGGGCATGGAATCTGAAGGTCTGAGGTTTGATTCCTCATGGGGACTCAGACTTTTTACTTTGTCCCACACTTGTGACAAGATGATAAACATATTTTTCTATCATAACAATTGTATGACAGACAGTAAGGAGAATTACTAATGAGACCTTGGAAGTGCTTTCTGGTGTTAGGATATAAAGGGTTATGTGTCCACACGAACACCAAGAGAAGAACCCCACTCAAATGTCAAGCTATGTGCCACTTTACTATTAACTACTTGATTAAAAACTCTCATACAACATTAGTCTCACCTCAGATTATTTGTGACACTAGCCCTCATTATTAATGTTACAAATTAAAATTCATCTACTAAAAAGCTAATACTAAAAAAACACATGTACCTTTTTTCTCGAATAAGTTCCTTGTTTGGATCAGACTTCAGCACATTTGTACTAGAAACAAAAGCAGCACAATTTTAAAGAAATTGAAACTGATTATAGAACACATAAACTACTTTTCTCAATATAATGTTAAGCATAGTAATCAAATCTCAATCAAAAATTGTCACTGCACAAACCTTTCCAGCTGCCTCTTCTTATCAAATTTGGCTGACAAGTAACATGTGAAAGAAATTGAGAACAGAGTGAATAACTATTTTTGTCTTTTCAATGTCCATGTTATTTGATAGTTCATATCTACACAACTTGAAACTTTTTATTAAAAAAACAAAACAAAGCAAAACTGTTTGGACACTCCACTTTCCTGCGCAAGAATTTCTCATTGGGCATACTCCCAATCTCGAAATTTCTTACACAAATCATGAACACAGCAGTAGCTTTGATTGCAAAAGAAACATGTTCAAGAGAAGAAAAGCATTACCTCATCCATAAGTCAAGAACAAGCCATTGAGTAAATACAATTGGAAGGAGAGTGCATTTTGCTTATCTTGAAATGAGCATGATCCAGAAATTCATTTTGTTCCAAATTCATAAAGATGATTAAGTTCCTTATCTTAGGTCAATTTGGTTCCTTGTTAGATGCAGGGGAAATACATGTGAATCCTTACAAATTCACAAGTAGAAGTTGTCATTCTTGATCTAGCACCAAAGTCTCATACCAAATTTACAAAGAAATGTGTTACAGCTAAAGGAGAGAGTTGACAATCAGATGTTGGGAGTTACCAGGTTAAGGCCATCTAATGACTTATGACTCAAACAATCCAGCTTTGGCTGAATCCTTGACAACCAAGTTTAAAGCAGAATCAGTTCATTTTCTTCCAATTCTGTTGATTTTGTTTTCACATAAAGGAATGGCCATATTTTAGGCACTCCTAATTGCTTAGAACTACTGTAATGGGGATGAGTGTTTGAAGTTAAGAGACAAACAACCTCTCAGACTTCTCCCACTGATAACAATCATTAGGTTAATAGCTAAGTCATCAACAACCTTTTTCCCTCAAATTAGAGCCTCGCTCATCAGATACGATACTCTGCATTTTGGATTGAAACATGCTTAAACTTATACCTTATTTACTGTTCAGAAAATATTTTTTTTAACAACTGGCAAGATTAGAGATTTGATAATTGCACTTTTAAATAAAATGAAGAACCAGAAGGTAGCCTCAGGAAAACTAAAACAAAAATTAAAATAATAAAAGAAATAAATAATTCATTCTCTTGCTCATCAAAGGTCTTTCAAGTCTTTACTTTCTTACTTAACAGGCGTTAAGTCCGTTTTCGTTTATTCAGCTGCTGATAAATTTCAGAGAGGCGAGCAATAGATTAAAAAAGTGACAAGTTATTTAAACACTCGGATACAAGATCGTTTATTCGTAACTGCACAGGGCTTTGTGTAATGACGGCAAACGATCTTCAGTGCAGGTACCGAGAGCTATCGAACAATGTGAACGGCGCTTACAGCTGATCGAAACAAAAGGACTAACTTTTGAGTTTTTGATCGCATAAATCTTGGCCGGAATTTAAAATACAACCAAAATACTCCCATTCTGTGATTAAAATACCCGATTGCCATGAGTATTGACTAAAATGGTACGTAAGAATTCACATTAGGAACGCACACGGAAAACTGACAAATCCATGATTTGTACGTTGCAGAGCCCAGCCAAAATACTCTTGATTCTTGTGAAACAAGACGAGATTACTCTGATATTTAAAGCTAGAAACCTTTGGCTAATATGAAAAAAATAATTAGCTTCCTTACCGATGTTCCGTACGAATATTCTCGGAGCCACAACTCCATCACGCTTCACACTCTGAGGCATGCACGCTTCGGCGGACTTGCATTGGACGGAAAAGCAACCACCGTTGACAAGCAAGGCCAATTCACACGAATCGTTTGCACAACACAGCTCTTTGCAAGTGGTCATGCTTGTAGTACGTTTGAGAATTGAAAAGTCTCCAGCAAGCGCCCCATCTCGAAGAGTTGCACTGTTCCATTCGCGACCACCTCTAGTGCACTTTCTAAAGTTGCTTTTATTCGAGGCCACAATTCCTACAAAAAACGTAAATTTCTATTAGAAGCGGCGGTAATTTCCCAACGAGTTTACGTTCGCAGTGAAGAAAGAACCACACCAACCTAAAACCACGAATAAATAAAACAGAAAGAGGCACGCTTGGAGTCGTGATTTCCTACAGGACGCGCAACAGACAGAAGCCATTGCATATCCAACTCAAGTCACGTTCGATTCGAATTGTTTTAACCTCCAAACGAGATTTTGCGATGTTATGTTCCACAAGAAACGTTGACCTGTAAAATTTCAAATACGGATGCTTCCTGGTAATTAATACGCATCTTTGGAACTCGAGAAATGAACTTAACAACGTCACATTGCAGTTCAAATTCCTGTAGTTTATCACTTCCTTCAACACAAAACCGCCATCTTGATCGGAAACTGTTTATGGTTTATTGATTACCATGACGTAACGCATACGGGGATCTCGTGACGTCCGAAGCTTACTGGTTTGAAATCAGCTGATGGCGAAATAGCCGTCGGAAAGTTGTTTCTCAGGTGAGGAGAAAGATTTTAGTGTATTCTCTCCTTTGGGGCTATCATGATAAGTATAAAACAGAAGTGGGAAAGAACGTAGGAGGTTCCTACTAACAATCATGAGATAAAATGAATTCAAAAAAAAAATCACGTTACCTGGCATATTTTTCACTTCTTCAAGAATGTAATATTCACATCCCTATCTTTTTTAAGATGAGTTCCTACTTTGGTGATATTTTTCTTTTACAGTTCCATTGCTTTTTTATTTGATATAAATGCCTGAACCCGCTTAAGCTTCCTTTAACGTGTGTAAATTCCCTTTATAACTGGGCTAAGAAACTTGTACAGGACACTAGCAATGCCGTCTTTGCCAAGAAAATCGCATAAAAGAGTTGCCAGGACAGATAAATAGTTTCTGGAAACATTTCTTTTCTTGACTGAGACAATACATTGAACTTTCATTCGATGGCCATTCTTCGTTTAGGTTGCTGGTTTTTTTTTTTTTTTCAATAGCCATTCCTTGTTTAGTTTGCTCGTTTTTTGTTTTGTTTTGTTTTGCTTTTGTTTTGTTTTGTTTTGTTTTGCTTTTGTTTTGTTTTGTTTTGCTTTTTTCTTCGTTTGTTCGTTTGTTTGTGTTTTTATCTGTTTGTTTAGAATCCATCCAAGCCACTTCTGTCCAGTTTGGTTGTGGCGGGAAAAAATTCCCGCCAAAAATTCAATGCAGCTCGCGCCGGACGCGTTTGCCAAGTGAAAACAGTTCACAAAAGTTAGCCTTCCTTGCCAGAAGCAGTCGTTTAGTTAATTAGCGATTGAAATAAAACAAAATTGAGCTAGACTAATCAGTTATTCCCTGTCCTTTCGTAAAACATACGGACAAGATGCTTTCAACAAATGCAGTAGCTCGGTCCTGGCCGTTGGAAAAATACGCAAAGTTTATTTACACTGGAGAGAGCGGAGGGCAAACTGAAAGTCAGGGATACTGGAAGGTTTGTTCGTGGCTTTGCTATAGTCTACACATCGAAATAATGTGAGTTTTGTTGGCTACAGATGATAACTGAGGTCTTCTAATTGACCATTTCTTATTTGGTTTTAAATTTACAGCAATTTTCGTCCGCCGAAGGTGGTTTTGAGGCCTTACAAGTGTCGTTGTTAGAATCAAACATGATTGTCTGCGAGGGAAAAGTGATGCACGTCAGTTTTTACTTTATTCTTGTTTGTTCAAAAGTCTGAAAGCGTTGTTGTAGTATTTTATTTAATGAGTTTTTGTTACTAATTTACTGACTTAAGCTACAGCTGAATGAGTTAAGAAAATTATTTCAATCGGTTCGAGTATCCAAAGGACTTGATGGTCACCACCTTTTGTATGGAGAATGAAGCCAAGACAGGGAAAAAACTAAGCCAAAAATCGTTTATTGCTTGTCTTCATTGGTACGAAAACATTGGAACGTCTCCTTATCCGTATTTTTGTTTCACTCTCAACTTCTCATCTAAATTTAAAACGACTCTTCCTGACCTTTAATTATTATTTTTCGTATGTCTGTTTAATTATATATTTTTTGCCTACACCAATTGTATTTTAAAAACAAATTGAGCGGAATTCAATTCACTGCTATGAATATACAAAACAATTAAGAATAGATGTTTAAAATGTTCAAATCATATTATAAAGTCGTTATTCGTCAATTTTCAGGAAAGTTTCTCTTTGTTTAATGCCAGCAAGTGGTTGAAAGGCATTGTCAAAGGCGATAGTATGCTGTTTCTTTACAGGATGAATGTAAGTATTATTATCTGCCACGTTTTGTTGTTGTTGTTGTTGTTGTTATTTTTAACCCGCGTTCGGCATTAATACATGTCATACAAAGGAGACAGATTTCTTGCGTTAGTAAACTTTGCCCACGAGCTCGTGTTGTTAAAAGATCTGAGCTTTTAAATACTTCTGTGGTATTCTGAGGTTCAGCAATTGTGTTCATTGTGACTGTAATATTTTTCCATCTAAACGAAAAAAAGAAAAATTTGTGTTGTGTTTCCGTTGGTTTTGCAGCTTACAAGAAATGTGTAATGATATTTCATTTCTTTAGCTATTCTTTCGTCAGACATGTATGTATGCGCTACTGCCTTTGAGCTGCAACCGGCCGGCCTGAGTCTAAGCAATAAGGTACTTTTGGAATCTTAAAACTGTATTTGTTTATTTACAGAACGATTGCCGGCGATTCAGAATCAAATTTAAAAGAAGCGCTGATCGATTAGCGATAGAAAATTGCCGCCATTTTGTTTCCGAGATCTCGCCCAAGATTCCTGTGAGAGAGCTGCCAGCGTCTGCTGAGTCTGACTCGCAAGTTCCAATGGAAGACTCTCAACTTATTTTATCGGATTCCCAGCCAACCAATAGAGAAACTACCGACAGTGCCGGCTGTGGATCTGCTTCCGTTGGTCTAACACTTCCTGTCTTAGCAAATAAGGTTCGTACAAAACGATAACTGTCGGAAATCGCCATCATGGACGAGACTGTACTTCGTGGTAATAAGAAAAATTCATCGTTTCACTGTGAAAAATAACTTTTGCGATAAAATCTGTAGACATCAATCGGGATGAAGTATTAAGAGTAAGGAAAATTCGAAACAGTCGTTGGCTGTTTTAAACTGGATTTTTGCGCCGATAATGGATAGTTTGACACATTTCGGTTGCCATTATTATGTGCATGATCCACTAGGGACTCTGCGAATCAAAGAGCTGTCGTTTGATAATAATAGTTATCAACTGTATTACGTCATACGACCCAAGAGGGCGCCTCCGGGAAATTCAAACATCAATGTAGCTTGTATTTTCTTCCAGTTTTTATACATTTTGGTTCTTGTTTCTCAATATTTCTGAACGAATCTCATAGTACAGGACATTTTTGTTAGTTTAATGGCTAGTGGAGCTTGCTTAGTTCGCTATATACCCAACTGGTGGTAGTCGGCTTATACTTGATTGGCGACGAAAGCACAAAAGTGATTATTTTTAGCGTAGGCTGTGTGATATAAACCAATAAACAAGGAGTAAAATGCCATCGTTTCCCTCTCAAAAACGAATTTGCAATCCTGTGAAGAAAGCATGAAAGTACGATCGTTTGACATCGATTTTTTCCTGTTACAGATTACATCGGTAGAATCTCGTTTGGATGCAGTACAGAGCGGTAGTAACCTTATTACACCACAAGATCAATTAAGCTTGATGATAAGACTCTGTTTGACCGACAGTAACTTCCCTGACTTCGTGGAAGCTGTGGAAAAGGAACTGAAAAGCCTTACATCACTAGAATAAAGGAGAACCGATTGATATATACAGGTGTAAGGATGCTCGCTTACCTGATGTTAAGATGTGTAGAAGTTTTGTCTACCAGGTGTCTAATAATATCAGGGGTCGTTAAGAAGCATAGACGGGAACGTGTTCGAAACCTTCGCTATTCTTGTCTTTACAATGCTTTGGGTTGTCACATGACTTCTTATCTTTCAATCAACCTCATGCCCGATGCGAATGAACTTCTTAACCCTAATCCCTAAACACGAGTGAGTCACACTTACGGCCGGCTTTATCAACTGAACAGCGATGAATTAGAAAGGCAAAATTACTTTTTTTCCTATTCAAGTCTTGTTGTGGCAAAAAAAGGAGAATTTCTCAATTTACCCTTTCTCCTATTGAGTACTGATATTATTTCTTTTAATCGCGCATCACCTTTCTCCATTTTTCAGTTATTCAATACGAAAACAAAACAATAGAGAGCAAAGGCAAACCGCGAAACCTCAAAGAGGAACAACCAGATCAAAGATAAAACATTTTATTTTCGTTTTACATGGTTAATTACAAATTATAAATACAATGCCAAGGGCTTCTCGGTTTTGTCAGTCTCTCTCCTCCTACTGTCTAAAATTTCCTATTTACACCACTGAGATCTAAACACAGCTTACAAAATCTAAAAAAATGCGCAGAAAGCAACTAAGTGACATCCTTCAGCAAAAGTCTTTTCCCCTCAATCACAACTGAGGCATGAGAAATCAACATATGAGATCTTACTAGGTGACTGCGCTAAGATCTAACCATTACAAGTGCCTAAGTACATGCAGAACCTAGAAAACTCCTTTTACATTTTCTCATTTGAACATTGGAGAAATCTACGATAGCGGTAAATGAGTTAAGCTTATAGTCTCCTTCTAAAATAACGGACCTGCATTTTAAAGGCATTCTACGACAGAGACAAACAATAAATATTCCAGTCATACTATTAAGGATGCGATGTTTGCTAAGAATGATTCAGGCGGCCTTGTACATTTAATGAAACTCTTCGATACCTCTTCCATCAGCTCCCTAGAAGATGCTTTTTTTTGTTTTCTTTTCTTTTTGTTCTTTTATGAAAAAGTTTACTTCTAACCATGCCGACCATGCTAAATTAAAGAGAAATAGATCTTCTCTGTTATAATGCTTTGCCTTACACACGTTATAAGTTCTGCATTGCTCGTCTCGACTTGGAATCCAAGCTTATGACACTGGGTCCGTTAAATCTTTCCACAGAGCATGGTGGCGGAGGGCCGTTATAACTGAGGGATTTCTTAATAGACTGCGCTTCTTTAAGGGACGGAATTCTGTTCCGGCGAGGCACCTCTGTGTCCTCATCTGAATCACTTTCACTATCGCTCAAAAACATCGGGCCGTTTTTTATGCACTTGGGATCCCCTGGAAAGAGAAGAAAATCTTCATCATCTTTCAGTACGGGAGAAAGTAAAGAAGCAGACTGATTATATGCAATAAATCAGTGTTCAACATCGTGCCTGATGCTCTTCGTCTAGAACAAGAAAGAACTGGGGATGGGAGTGCACCCCTTTCTGCTCCTCAGGCTCCAAAGTTGCTGACTAGAGATTCATATACAGACTTTAAAAAGCCTTCTTTCGAATGAAAAATGTTCATAGCTTATCATTCTTTTATATATATATATATATATATATATTTATATTTTTTTTTTGTAAACTTTAATAAATTTGCTTCTCAAAGCAAAAATATATTGTTCTCGCAATAAGATGTTGCGATTGAAGAATCTAGATCCTGTCTACACGCCAAAGTTAAAGAAAGAAAAGTACCACTCTCGTTATTTACCGAAGTTATTGTATTGTTGGCCAAACTTTTGTAGATTCCAGCCCTGTGGTAACATTTCTAGTCCTTGAGGTGAATCACCGCATTCGTTCATCATGGTAAATCTGTCACTTGGTTCGTCTTTCGATCGCAGTCGTCTTCCACTAAACCAAAGACACATAAGTTGTTACAAATAAAACTTTGAGAACGGAAATGACTCTTCATGACAATGGAAGTGAAAAACATGAAAAGGATTCTGAGGGAAATTTCAGATGTATTTAACGCAGGAAGATAAACTTTGATAAGATAACTATCTAAAGAACATTCTGCTAGAATAGCAGAAAAGATCACTATCCATAAAAGCTCTTGACGGTTAAATTCTCCTTGCCGCACTCAGGAAATGTTTAGAGAGAGAGTGGAAAATATGCAAACTAACGTTAGGGTGTAAAGGGTTAATATTGTATTAATGTCGCCTCCCTGACGAATTTAGTTTGTAACATGTCACTGCTGCCAATTTACTTACCGATGCCAACAGGTACAGAGGGTCCACATAATTCCAGTTATGCCGATACCAATAGCGATAGAGCCAACTATGATATACCACAAACTCCAGTCTTCAAGATATGCAAACAAAATTTCTCAGATTAGTTTTTGTTTCGTTATTAACGCCTTTGTAGCAAATCACTTGCTGGAAGGGTTTCATGTAAGGTGCTTTTTTTATAATACACGAGGAGGTCAGCTTGGATTTGTGTATCGTTAAGTGAGAATATGCCGCTATCGCGATGCAACTATCAAGAAAAAGTTGTATCGAGAATGAAATCGTAGACAAAGCCTTTTAAAATCAGGACAAAGGTTTAGTTTCTTTTTAGTTAACTGACCTGTGCCTGGTTCTTCGACCTTTTTCCTCGAGGTGATATACGCAATCTGCGATCCTTTATTGGCTGTAGGATGAACTGGTACAGGTACACAAAGCTCTTTACTTGCGCAGTCTCCAGCGTAACAGTTTTCTCCTAAAACCAAGGCCAGGTCACATGTCTGCTCAGCACAACAAAGAGCCGCGCATGTCTCGATGCTATCCACTTCGGCTATGTGCGTAAAGTTTCCAGCTCTAAGACCTCCTAATAAAGTATGGTTGTACAAGATGTGGCTACGAGTACATTTAGGAATGGCTGTATAGTCAGCACCTTCGTCCTCGAGCAGTTCTGCGATAGAATAACGCTTAGAATAGTCAGCATCGATGAATTTACCTAGTTTCAGAGTTATTAAGAGCCTCAATTTTTACCCCACAAGGGTCAAACGGCTTACTTCCATCAGTCCGCCTAAAAGGCTAGAATTTGATTCGTATCGCACTCGTAAACATGCACCCAAGATGCTTCCAGTGTACAAAAAATATTTCAAAGTCGTGTCGATTTTGGTATTATGCATCTTCTCGTCGAGAATGAACGCGATAAAGCTGATATCATTTTCGGTACTCTCATTCTAAAGCACTTCATTCTTATATAAAAGGCTTTCAGAACTCCCATCTTTCCTAGTAAGAACGCACCAGTTGGTATAAATCTACCGGCGCGTTATCAAAAATGTGTCGGTCTGATTGTTTATACTACTCGATATCTATTCCATTATCGATAGTGACTAGGTTACGATTTGTCTGAGTTTCGCATTTGATTGTTTTAAACATTGCGAGTTTGGAAGACCACTCACAGAGCGAAATAAAGAAATCCTGGGTTACTGTGGAAACTCAGTTGTATCACTGAACACTGAAAAAGAGTAAGTACAAATTTACCACTGCGATACCTGTTTCGTTTATTTTTGGCGCCCACTTTAAGAACGCTATTCTGGGGTAGAACTTGGAAGGCTGAGCGGGAATTGTCTGACAAACTCTACCACTTGAGCATGTAACTGAGTAACAGTAGCTTCCCAGCATGAAGGCTAAATCACCACTCCCCAGTTCGCACGTTTTTCCAATGCACTCCTGCATGTTTTTAGTCTTTCCCAGTGATGTAAAGTTTCCGGATTTAATTCCTCCGAGCAAAGTGACGTTTGGGTAGATTTTGCTAGCCGAGCACGTGCTAGTTTTTAGTATGGTTGGGTGAGGCAACTTGTCGCTGATAATCTCATGTATTTTCATGGTTGGTATTTCTGAACTTGGTGCTGTTGGGAGGACGTTTGCTGTGGAAAGAGGCGGAATAAGTGATGGCTACGCTCAAGGTGTAAATCTCCTCACTAATTCACATATTTGTCTTGGTGGAAGTTATGAGATTCTAGTCCCAAGTGTAAAGTGCTTAGTCGACAAGCGTTGTGAATGTCTGATAACCTTTAACCTTTGAGCGAACTCCTTGACATTTTTTACTGACACTCTAATCCAACTTTCTTCTCTTTATACCTGTATCTGATAACTTTTTGAATACTGCTAAATGCCGAAAAATACTCTTTTGTAAATGTAATTAAAATGTAGAGTAATCAATGTTACCTTTTCTCGCTGGCCTCTGAAGCTCTCTACGCCTGATGAAGGCTATTTGCGGGTCATATTTCGTGGGTCTCGCCTTGACTGCCTGACAGAGCTCCTCACTGAAACAGTCTACTGCTATACATGTTCCTCCTATCATGAAGGCCAGGTCGCAAGTCTTACGCTCGCAGCAGAGCGCAATGCACATGTGCATGTTCTTCTCGTCACCAAGGTCGCTGAAATTTCCAGCTTTTATTCCACCTCTTAGAGTCACATTCTTTAAAATTGGACTCTGGGTACAGTGAAGTTCCTCCTGAGTCGACGGATCTTCCACTGAAACTGAAATGTGGGCCCGCAATCAAAATGAGAAAGTGGTTTCACTTTCATGTCACTTCCTCCTTACCCCCCGCCCCCCCTTGTTCTGAGGCATAAATTGGTTGATATTGAAGCTATTTGGTTTGAAAGGAGTGTTATTTTACAAAAGGAAACGTTGCAGCAACCCCTTAAATTCAGTTTTCTTTAAATGTATGTTTTAGCCGAAGGGAAAGTAAACGAACGCAAGGAATGCTTCTTGACGCTTTCTAATTCGTTGCGTCAAGCGTTGTACGAAATAGAATCGATTCAGCTTCGTTTCAGCAGAGATTTAATTAACGCAGAAGTAAAAAATGTCCAACTTGCTTTGGAACTGAGGAATATGTATATGTAAATATTACAGCATAGTTGCGAAGTCGTAACCAAATGCAAAAGAATCCTAAAGCTACTGCTCATTTTGAAACTCAGTCAAAGTTGATCTCGTAGGTGCTAATATTTAAGTATAAGATCCAGGAAATACGGAGCTTTTTAAACATCTACTTTTTGTTACATTTGAAATAAAATAAATCTGCACACAGCATGTTTGAAACAAAAAATCTACGGCACTAACCTGCAATTTGATCCTTTGCCGGGTTTACGGCAATCGGTCGCACGGCTGCAATCTTGACTGTAACATTGCTAGGCTTTACAGTAGTAATCTCACAATGTTTCTGACTAAAACAGTCAACACCATAGCAGTGATTTCCAGGCATAAAAGCCATCTCACAGTCATCCTTGTCACAGCACATCTGGATACAGGTCTCCATGTCTTCAGCTTTGCCAAGTCGCGAGAATTTCCCGGCACGCAGCTCATGTCGAAGAGTGACATTAGAAAGTATCGGCCCGTGCGGGCATTTCAGAGGTTTGACATTGGTTATTTCTGATACAAGGCTTTCCTCTAAAATTAATAGAAAATGATAATCATAATATTAATGATAGTTTTGATGATAATTTTATTAATAACAATGATAATCATTTCTTACAGTCGATAAAAAGTAATGAAAACTCTAATTTACTGCTTGGCCAAAATTTAATTCTAGTTTATCAAGTTTCCTCCACATTGCACGGGTCGCAAGGACTGAAAAGTTTTCAATACATGTAAGATTTCGCAAATAATTTTGCCTACTTATACAGCCAAAGCTTAGTTTTCCTAAGTCAAGGGCACAAAACGACATTTGAGAAGTTTCCAATTATTCGTGATAACAACAAATCTAGACATTTCAATTAGTAATTATAAATACGATTGAGAGAGATACATAACTATGTTAATATTCCTTCTACTTAGCTGGACTGGTAAACGTTTCCCCGAGGGGGAATATATCGCGAAATATTACTTTTCTTTTTTCTATTTAAAATGTGCAACGAAACTCTTGGCTGGGTTAGTGTCTAGAGTAAAGTCCTTTCCATATTGCACAAAGTTGTATTTATAACGATCTCTGTATATTTTTCTTTCTTATTCATTAACTAATTACATCAAATAAGGTCCACGGTCTGTCTACCCTATAGATAGGGAATTAGAGGTAATTTAACGTGAAGAAAACAAGCGAAATTTTGGAGCAATATTATTGTCGAGCTGAATTTTGTTTAGCGAATTTGAACATGAACTTACCAGTTGAAGCATAAGAAAACTTGAAAAGCAAAACAAGCGATATAGGCAGCGGCAGTTTTCCAAAGCCCATAACTTTGACAGACAAATATTAATCGGAATTTCAGAGATATATAGATTTTTCCTAGTGATAGATCGTTTGCTCTGATGCGAAACGTACTGGGCGAGGCGTTGCGAAGAATTTCTTATTCCACGTGTTTCAGCTCATTTTGTATGCAACAAAAGCCCATATCCACCTTGAATTTTCCTTTTGTAATAAACATAAAGTTCATCAGACCGGTGACTCTATCACGAACCATTCCCTGTTTTTGTTACCATGGCAAACAAAGCCTTTTGAATGCGCAGGGCGTGTTGCTGTGAATAACCTGCAGTGCGAGACAAAGCTGATGGCAGGTGATACAGGTGGGCGTTGTATAAGGCGAATAAGACAGGAGTCTTTCTATCAATTAGAAATGCTGTATGATGATCAGGATAGGATGACTGTGTAACAATCGAAAAGCTGTTTCGATGTGTCTGATAAAGCCCTATTGCTTAAGTTAGCGTTCATCCAATATACTGTAGTCTTCTCATCTATAGGCGTTGTTTAAATCGGCCTCGCGCGTTTTCTAACCGACCACGCTACTTTGTCTAAACAACACCGTGAACGTATAACAAAAGAGGAAGAAAACGATTTTAGTCATGAAACTTAAAGGCCATTTATACATCATGTTGAGATTCAACTTAAAACGAGATGATAAAGGTACAGAGTACCTATCATTAATTTATTAATTCCCAACCCTCGACGACCGAGCGAAGTTTAAAACTTGCAAGGTTTGCGAACAAATTGTACACGTGATGAAATGACTTTGAGTGTAATGTGAAACACATAAGTAAGAATTCAGTTTTTTCAAAACTCGAACAGTTCATGCTTCCTAAAAGAGTTTTTTCTAACTCTCAGGATTCGGTGCTTACTTCAATGGTATGCAGTGTCTTCAAGTAGGTTTATCATTTCTGAGAGAGCAAATGGAAATAACTGACTGGTTGCTTTCAAACAGGATTAACATCCTCAATATTGAAGTGTATGGAAAGAGAAGAGAAAAAAGGAAAAGAGATAAAATTACAAGCGAAACGTGAGAACAAAAAAACACTAACGGCGATTCTTTAAAGAATTTCGTATGCATATTTATGTAACACAGAACACATAATTCCCAAGACATTTTTGTTTATTTCTTTCATTTAAACATTAAAAAAACCCCTCGTATCTGTACAAACTTATATTAGAAAAATTATATCAAAGAGTTAAACTGGCCATGGAAAAAAAGGGTTAAATGCAGTAAATCTTTTATTCTTGCATATGTCCCGCTACCACCATAGGTTTGTGGAAGGAAAAACAGTAAATGTGTAAATGTGTATAAGAGGCAAAATGTTAATCAATCAATCAATCAATCAGTCTGTTCTTAACAGACATTTCGAATTGATTGAACCCGCGGTTTTTGCAGTACACGTCGTCGTCGGTACACGTCGTAGTACTTTACTGTGCCTCGACTCCAATTATTGTAAGATTGCTTAGTAAATTCGGAAATCTATTGAATTGATTACTTTTTCTTCACTATAGCAGTGAGACCCCTACATGTTTTTAAAATCAGAATCGTTTGTAAAGCAGTAAGATTACTTGTATTTAAAAAAGTAAATAACAAAAAAGAAAGGAAAGAACCTTCTTGTTATATCAGTCATGAAGTTTGACTGATTGAAACAGGTTGATTTTCTACATAAAACTATCGTCTAGCGATAACGTAATTTACACGCTTGAAATCGCTATATCAGTAGAGTTATTTTTCACATGGCACTGAAGCATAGGTCTGGATTTTTTACAGCTATTTACTCAAAAGCTTTAAGTGGACCGGATCATTTAAAAATATAGTCTATTCTTGGGTACAAATATGTTTTAGGCGCTATTCAGAGGTCATCTTAATTTTCGCCTGACGGCTACATGACTCTAAATTAATCTGCGTCATTCTCTCGCACGTAAAATCTGTTGCTTTATCATAATTATAATGATAACGATTATAATAATATTCACAATGATAATGATAATAATTATGATTATAATGATGATAATGATAACTATAATGATATTGAAAATGACAAAGGTAAGTCTAATAGTACAGCAATTGGCTGATCTTGGAGAGTGATATTGACGAATCTTATTATCGAAGGTTGCCTTGATTGATTCGTGGCCAACACCTGGCAAGTTTGTTAAAATCAAGCCTTAGTGTAGCATTCAGAAATGCTATACTCTTGTTAAAGTTATGTCTGCGGTGACAATTCGTAGCTTAAGCGTTTGTCCTCCTTTGTTAGCCACTATAGAAATATTATTCGTAACAATTCAATTTCACCCTATTCCGCCACTGTTGTTAAGTTTTGCCTGCTTGAGGCGAATAAGTAGCTTTGGCGTTTTCTTTTAGGACCCAGAAAACCAGAAATTTCTACAACATTCTTGTTTGTTTCAAAGGAAAAGCCAATTAGGCGTCAGAGAACTAAATCGCAAACGTCAAAAAGTGTTTGCCGGTGTTTCTAAGGTCAGCTTGCATTTTCTAAACATTTTTGTAGTTGGTCAGTACAAAATTGACTAATCAAATAAAAGCGTTCGCAGTTTTCTGATTTCACAGCAAACCTTTGGTGTGTGTACGTCTCTAGCCTATTACAGGCGTTAAGTCGGTGAAATGGAGCAAAATAGTAAACGGCCCAATAGGAGCGCCGGAACGAACAAAGCTAAAGGCTTGGGTCGGGTTATGTAAGGGAGGGAGGTAGGTTCGGGTGGAGTAGCCTCCCTCCTTTACGCGATCCAAGCCTCACGCTCCATCGTCGCTACTATCGTGCCGGTTACAACTTTCCTCCGTTTCACAGACTGAACGCCTGGAACAGGACAGTACGTCTCTTTCAGATGAAAGCTAAAATACAAACTCTTATTATGGTACTCGGAGCCAATCAAACCGATGGTACATACAACATTATGTATTTCTACTGTCTACCTTTCTGTGCATTTGGCGCTTGTATCTGTCTCGGTCAAGTTTAAGCCTTGTATCCGATATAGGCACGTCGGATAACTGCTCACGAAAAGTATTTTTATTTAAATGCTCACTTCGACGTTTTCTGACGCTTTGTGGAGCAAGTAAATTGCTCTTTGTCCTGGCGTAAATATAAACAATTCTGGGGGCGTAAATCGATGACCGCGCCCGCACAGCCTCGCACAGTTTCTCGTTAAAACACATGACTGAAAAGCAGTTGTTTTTCAACATAAATGCGACATCGCAGCTTTTTGAGATGCAGCATATTTCAACACAAGCTCTCATGTTTGGGACCTTTCCCCGATCCCGAAAATGTCCAGTAGAAATCCCGCCTCGCAGAGTGACGTTTGTCATCACCTCACTGTTTGTGCAGTAGCCCTCTTCCTTAGTATCTAGGTCCTCTCGATCTTGGGTGTCATTAGCTTGATGTATTGTCTCAGTCTTGGTCTGAGTATGTTCTGGGAGGAAATGAAATCATAGTTAGGCACAACCCACTTTCGCCATTTTACTGTGAAGCAAATAATATAAATGCTTACAGTTCCATAGGCCTCGATGAACTACCTGCTATTTACGAACTAAACACAGCTGTAAATAATAAATAGTATTTTGGAGCGAAAGAACGGTACATTTATAAGAGCTTATTGACATTTTGGAACTTCCTTTAATGACGACCAGTGACAACTAAATGCTTCAAATAGTCTTAGTGTTTTTGTTGCCGTTTTTGCCTCGTGTTTACCATGGCTATCGCAGATAAATGTCCCCTGAAATAAAAGAAAATGTTCCCTGACATACAAGAAGCCAATTAGTAAGTATTACCCTTACATCAGTTTTAATCGTTGTACCGGGTACATCGATTTTTCTCACCTTTCTTGTTCTGACTCCCAATATCTCTTCTAACGTAGGAAAGTCTGGGGTAAAAATCAGAAGAAGGAGCTGGCACCTCTTCGCAGAGTTCTTCGCTGGCACACGTGATAGCATAACAAGAGTCCCTTAACATCAGGGCGATATCACAAGTATTTCTCTTACAACACAAATGAACACATGCTTCCATATTGTCCACGTGACCAATTGGAGTGAATTTTCCCGCGGAAAGTCCACCGCGGAGTGTAACGTCATATGATACAACGCTAGGTCTGCAATACATGCCGTTACCAATGGCTATTTCTTGTGGGAGAGCTGTACAAAAGAAAGTGGGAAACACTGGTTTTGAACAACTTCTGTATAGTTGTAAGTTATCCGATTATTTTGACTGCACAATGTGACGTGAAAATAATGAAGTTATCTTCAACTGATTTTTTCGAAATGATCTTGATTCACTTTGATTCCTCATGGGATTCAGAACTTTGTCTCACGCATGTGATATGATGTAAAAACATCTTTTTTTAAATTGAAATTTTTACAATGTATGACATACCTTCCTCATCTCGACTTGTTATGTATGATAACCTCGGACTCAGGTTGGTCAGTAAACCAGACTTGCGCGCAAGCACAGGCTGACAGAGATCCTCGTTGTAACAATTTACCGCGTAACAGTTCGCCTCTAACATCAGTGCCACGTCGCAATCCTTTCTACCGCAACACATACGAATGCATGTCGATATCTCGGATATTTTACCCAAATCTGTGAAGTTACCAGCCTTTATTCCACCTTTTAGTGTCGAGTTGTATTTTATATCACTGTTTTTGCACATTAGTTTTGAGTTTGTAGCTGGAAGGTTGCTCAACGTTATAGCTGTAAAGAAGAATGTGTTGTAAAAAGATCAGGCCAAAGATAGGAAAAAATTGACGCGTATTGTGAATTACTTGATGAAAATTTAGTCCTCACTCAAGATCCAAAAGACATGATCTATCATTTTGCCTACTTAAGCCTTACATTAAAAGAGGGAAATCTTGATAGTAATTTGTTGAATCAGAAAGAATATTTGGATTCAGAAAGCTGATTTACTCAAAATAATGAGATACGATAAATCAGTCGCACGGCCTTGACAACTCAGCGTCTGCAGAAATATGAAACATAGCTGGGGACAAAATTGTCGCGACAAGCACGTGATCTGGAATCGATAGCCATGACACTTGCAGGCTGCTTTCAGCAATTTCACTTTTCGTTCATTATTTTGCTAGTTCTCTTTACGCGACTTGTAATCATGTGCTGTAACTAAAGATCTAAGTAAACCTACATACCTGTGTCCTCGGTGACATTTGTGACCCATCTTCGCACAAATGCCACAGTGGGCTGATAATTCTTAGTCTCAGATTTCACTGTCTTACATAGTTCTTTAGTAAAACAAGATACTAAGAAACAATGCCCTTTTATGATTAGAGCTAGGTCGCACTTTTCTGAAACACAACAAAGTCGCGTACAGGAATCCACGCTTTCCACACTTCCTACATCCGTGAAGTTTCCAGCAGAAATTCCACCTTTTAAGGTCACGCCGTCCTCTGCTTTGCTTTCTGCACACTTCAGATTCTGCGGAACAGGGTGAATTCTACGACTGTTACCTACAAATGAGATACACATGGACACCTGGGGCTCAGCCAAGACAACAAGGTAATGATTTCAGCCATGGAGAAAAATTCCTTTTTCACTCCGACATTCAGACTTTTTCGTTCAACTTCATCAACCGCTAAGAATGAGATAAAAGGCGAACTTTGATTTAAAAAAAAAACCTTGAACTGGAAAAACTATGATCTTAAATTTCGAGAATCTCCGTCTGTATAGACAATTATTTCAACGATTATGTTTAAATTTGCAGTTCGCCGTGAACTAATTTTTCAGATCAAAATTTGAGAAAAAAGCAATAAAACTATTAAGCTAACGAAATTGGGCAGAATTTTCTCAAAGCTAAGTTAAATTAAATTGTAAAGTCTAACAAGGTATAAAAGTGCTTAGCGTGCTCGAGAACGAGTAGAAGGGTCAATATAAGGACGGACAACTCTGAAGAGCAAACAAGAATAAACACCGCTATCTAAAAGGGAAGGCATGCTACTTTTGCTGCTCCATTAAACTTACGGATTTCGATTAGTGCTCCAAGCCTAATGGTGAGAGACGCCTTCGACCGCGGGATATGAATCAAAAATTAGAATTACAAAATCCCTGGTGATCACGTAGTATTGACGCGGGGCTGATCAATTGGTCAAAAATTCATCAAAATTTCAAATGTATTTTACAAGGCATCGCCAGTCATTCAACGCTGATCCGCGTGAGCCAAAGGATGCATCGTCTTTGAAAAATACGCTCTTTTGTTTATGAGATTCATGGTACCAAATCAAGGCAGTGGGTTTCCAATTTTTAGTAACTTGTAGCGTCTTGTACGACGACTTGTTTCAAAGAGATGCATTTCTGCATCATTTTATTGAATACTTTACTCGCGATTGAAAAAAAAAATGTCTCTGTATCTTGCACCTACCTTCCTCTCCTTTTATTGTGACATGAGAAATCATCAACGAAGATGGCGCTTTCTTCGCTAGTACAGCAGTACACAATTCTTCACTGAAGCATTGTACCCCATAGCAGTTTTTGCCGGACATGAGCGCGACGTCGCAACCCTTTTCCTCGCAGCACAAGCGAATACAAAGTTGCATTGCAACAAACTGAGCCAATTTCTTAAAACTTCCTGCGTTAATTCCACCACGAAGAGTTACGTTTTGGCGAATCGGGCTCTGCGCACAGGATTCGATGGGACCCTGTAAGTTCTTTGTACTGTTTGATAAAGCTGCAGATTCGAGAATATCACGGGAGTTATTACAAATCATTACAAGCGTTAATTTGAGTGAAATATCCGCTACAAAAACAAAAAGGAATCTTGCATACCCTTCGCTGTAGCAATTAATGACAACAGTAGTACTAGAAGTAGAATGACGGAGATTGTTTGCCACCTATATTGTTTCCTCATGGTACCATGGTGAAGTTTGTAAAGGGGCAACCTGCCTTCACCGATAACACATTCTTTGCATCTTCTGCTGTTCACCTCATGTTGAATTTTGAAGAAAAATGATGCATTTTCTTACGGAAAATTCGTAAGGAAGTTGATTCTGCCCTCTTTCGATGTCTGACTCTCAGAAAACTAGTGAATTATTGAACATTTCGAGTCGTTAGCTAATCTGACCTAACTGGGGTTGTATTGTTCGCCGGAGCTCGCAACTGGTTGTTTACGTTCGCTCTCTCAGGCTATCAAATTCACCTCAAAGGACTCAACCAAAGTAAGTAAAAAAGTTCAGGCTTATGATACTTAAACAGCAGTCAAGAAATAAAGAATACGTTTAGCTATAAAATTCTTCATTGGTGTCCGAAGCTCGTCACTCATGCAACTGGTGCTGGAATTAGTCATTTTTGGCGGAATATTCATAAAGAGAAACTGATCACACTACTCATCCGTGACAATGAATGAACCTCGTTACAGCGGACAGAGAGAGAGAGAAAGAGTGCGAGTGTGATCATGAGTGACATGTATTATTCTTGCTCCACATGGAACGCCTTTTTTACGACGATGTTTCATGCGTGCAGTGTACGCTTATGGCAAAGAATCCCGTGAATTTCCAATCGTGGTTTCTGAAAATGAAAGGCATACATGCTGGGCAGGATGAAAGTCGTATCTGAGGCAGTGTATTCACAAAATCTACAGCCAACCAAATGTAGCCTTGGCTAACTACAAGCAAAGTGCACTGGGAAAGTTATATCGCAAAGTCATAGGCTCGGACGCAGAGTTATCTCAAACTCAGATGCAACACGTGCAGTAAATGGATTTACACCAGAACTTTTGAGTTAAGCAAGGTTCTTTCTTCTGCCGATCGCCTATATAGGACATCTTCCATTCATATTAGCTAGCTGTTGGCGTCTTTAAACCGTATTTCATGTTTGTGTTGACCAAAAAAATCAAGTAATAATTTCTCCCTCCGGCAAAGAGACAAACAGATTAAAAAGAAAAACTCACTCATTATGCAATTCAGAAGCAGTAAACTGCATTTACAGTCAAACCAATATTAATCGGGCATCCAAGGAGAATGGCAAATCAGATTCGAGGACTTAGGATTCCAGACCTAGGAAAAAAAATGAATGTAGCTCATTTAAGAAATGTGGCGTCTTTGACAGTGTAAACAGAGTCTACATTTATTGATAAATGCACCACGCAAAGACGATTTACAATCTTTTGACGGTTTAGGCCGCTTCAAGGCCGAAAATATCACTGAAAGCAGTAATATTTTTTTACGATGCATTGAAACACGTGAGATTATATTAGGTATCCATCACTCTATTTCAAAAGGCACTTTTTGAAAGTACAGCTTGTTGGATTTGTTTTCGTTAGCTAAAACTTACTACGTGGACTGGATTAATTTTAGTAAGATTGTTTTAATGCAGGATAATCAGCCTAAAAAAATTGGCGTTTTAGGCAATGCACACCTGCACTACTGAGTCTATTCGACCGCATGCGAACAATGACCACTATGTTTTGTCAAGTTTCCCGGCACCCAAGATAAATATCACATGCCCCAGGGTTTACAAACACGTGCGTGAAGCGATAAGGCCAAACAATACCGTGACCAACTGAAACTAAATAGAAAATTCACATGCATCAATAACCTTCGTTAAGAACCTCTTTATATAAGCTTCGCTGAGCATCGTAAGTAGAAAATAGAAAAATTATAATATCACGAAATTGTATCCTTTCCCAGATAGTCTGAATTTACAACTTACCGTTTAGACTGTGCATTTTAGCCATGAATGAGGTGTGCGTTTCTATGTCTTGTGAAAGTGATGAATACAAGAGATGCTAACTCAACTAAAAAGCTAAAAGCACGTAAGGCTTGAGTGTTCGAGAAATGATGTACATTATGGTTTTAGCCTTGTATCCTTGGAGATGCTGTATTTACATTTTAAATAGAAAGTCACCAATTCAATACAGTCACGTATTGAATTATTGTGTTTCTACATCGATAAAAATTATCGGAGTAACGTTTTCCCGTCCGTATGATGCCTTCAATTCTGATTAACGTGGACAATTAGATAAAGTCGCTGTCGAAATTTGAAGATGTTGATCTTCCAAATCTGCCACATTATTGATGTTCTCTCTTCCCCATAATATTACTTAAATTGATTGCTTCAGTTCTTTAACTCTAAATGTAGTCAAAATACGATTTATTGTTGAATTGACGGACAGAAATATCTCGGAAGTTACCCTTAAAATCAACAGCCATTTCTGCTCGTGGCAGCTGTCGCAGTTTGCTTCAATAAGAATAACGACGAAATAGGGAATCAGACAAGTAATCAGACAAAATAAGATTAAAAACGAAGTCGTAGCACATCGATGCTGTTTTTGGAAGTTTTGTACTCTGCGTATGTCGCGAAGTACTCGGTTGTTAGGGATCGATGACTGTCTTTGCAAATCAACGCGAGAGCGGCTCTTTCACAAAGTTATGAAAATCCCAGAGTAGGCCATCGTAGTTGCGATGAGAGTGTGTGTAAATGAAAATCGACTAAACGTAAACATTCAGAGACACATCACGAGCTGAAGAGAGGCGAAGATGGAAGAAGAAACAACTATCATCACGTTGCAGAAGTCGAGGTGTTTTGGTCTGACTTTAAGAAGATAGAAATGAGGACAAACAACAGAAACGAAACGATCGACAGACATGGACTTAACGAGCAAAATCGAGCTGTTAACTCCGATGTATTCCACTATTATAGGGAAATCCCCCTCTGTAGGGGGAGGATTATCTCCAAATGCACACCTAGGCCTCATAAGAGCCTCTGCTGAGCAAACGACAATGCCAACGAACAGATCCACCGCAGAAATGAATATCAAAAACACGGAAAAATGTTTTTCTGAAGCGACGAAGGGGATCTCTGTACAATGCCACCAAAGTCACACCATTAGAAACTGATATGGGAAATGAAAGTAAGGAAAAACTTATTCCACCCCCGAGACATGATGATAAACGTATATCAGCACCGTGATCAGAGACAGAATATTGTCTTTTAAATGTTTGAAGTCTTCAGGATGGTAAATTGATATCACACACACACACGCACACACACCCACAAAAAAACTTATGTTAAGCGGAACTTTTCAATCGTTTGTGCATAACGATTACCTTACATACGCTACTAATGCAGTAAAGAAAGAGAGAAAGATGTCTTTTTTCCCGTCACAAGCGTGGGACAAAGAAAAAATTCTGAGTCCCCATGAGGAATTAAACCTTTACCAAGCTAAAACTTAAAATCTCTCTTATTCTATTTAAAATCATGACGCTATCGTCATGGCTGATCCTGGCTGTATGGAGGACGCGTGTCATATGAATTTCGTAATAGATCTCACTCACCGTAGAGTCTGTGTGGATCAGTTGGATCAGTAGTGTAGCATCGGAGCGCGGAATCCGAAGGTCTGGAGTTTGATTCCTCATGGGAACTCAAAATTTTCCTTAATTACACGCTCGTGACAAGACGAAAACATCTTTCTGTCTTTTTGTCTCTATTAATTAGGTGCATATTTAAGCGTAAAAATATTGTTATTATAATAAGGTTGCAGGCAATAATCATGATGAATACACTTGCACATAAAGAAAAAGAAATTTATTTCCAGGGTGTTGTCACTTTCGCGGTAAATTGCGACATTTCGACTGTGTACTGCGCGTCTTCTTTGGGCGATAAGGTCGGCAGAATATTGCTTAAGTAATGTTTTGATCGTCGGAAACATGCAGTCAATATGTTTTCGAAAGTCGCAATCAACATCAAAAGTGATCACCTTGTCAGAGAAACAATCATACCTCATAAACAAATCAATACAGTTTGCCATATTCTGCGTGACTTGAGCTCTGATCCTCGTAGTCTAAAATTAAGGATTCGTCATTGTTAACTAAATGATAAAATGTCCATGCAGCGAAGACAGGGAACATTCGTATCTAGTGAAGCAAAACACAAATCATTTAATAAACCTATGCTATTATGTCTATTATCACATAAAAGAAGGTATTGATATTATCACTCACACTTTGTGGTGTGTGGCAAAGACAGGTGTGATATACTGTATTTTTTCTGCGCCAGTTAGCTAGAACTAATTAAGAAAGAAAATTCTGGAGACTAATTTTAAGCGGGTTGTATTGGTTCGAAGCAAATCCTGTGATGCCAGCGCTTCAGAAAGACTATAATGATTGTTAGCTGGTTGAATAAAAAAGGACTCACAATGGTCAGTAATCAATAGTAAGATTAAAAACAATGCTTAACGTGGCCACCAAGTTAATATATTAGCCTAAGGCTATGCCAATAAAAGAAATATATCTCTATATATATATATATATAAATATATATATTGTTTTTTCTGGCATGTTATTGTTAATCTCTTGCGAGTCTACCGAAAGAGTTATGATAATTTTAATGAAACAGTTTCTTGAAATGGTAATTTATGCTCTTCTTATTGTTTTTTTTTCTTGAGTGTGAAAGAGTTTCCTAAACCTTACCGCAACTAAATTTCAGCAGAAAGAGCGGATTGACGTCTCTAATTAGCATGACAGTCAATTTCCCGCATTAGATACTTTCCATTAACGGCTCTCTCTGGCACAAAGCAACGCAAGGTGTATCGGTTTTACAAAATAGTGTTCTCTGAAATATTTCTGGAAGAGAATTTTGCTCTGATCTGCAGCATATACAAATTAGAAAAAATAGCCTTTTTCTTCAAACGTGATCCTGACACACACGTTACTCACAAAGAAGTATGATGACCAAAACTTGTCAAATATGGGCAACTACACAACTATTATTAACTTTGCTGAGTGAGTACCAATGTTCCTTTAAAGACACGACGTTCTGTATAGTAAGTATAGTTACCACAAGCATATTTCGAGACATGAATCGAAGCTATAGTCCTCCTAATAGCATGCGGAGGAAAAGAGGAGGCTAAGACTGAAAGAGCCTAAGACGTTTTCTGATTATAGCTTGTTATGTATTCTAAGGGAGAGTTCCTCGGTAAACCAGCGTATCATACCATAACTAAGCTACTTAATTACTTTTAAGTCTGGTTAAACACAAGGTCCTCCGTGCTGATTTGAAACTCTTGCGCAAAGATGCAAATGAAGGAGTAATTTAAGCACGATTTTTGAGATCAAAGCTATGACAATTCTGGAATAGGTAAATGGATGGTTAACACCTAGCTCTCCACTCCCCATGCTAATGAACATATTGCTGAAGCAGTAGGCACTTAAAAGCCCCTTCTCGGGTCTTCTTGAAAGAATATGCAGATTCTCTTCATCTGTTTCCCGTCCACTTTTGATCGAAATCGCTAGCATAAACATTATCATTAATTTATAAACTTCCTACAATTAGTTGAGTAAACGGCGGTAGAAAAGTCAACTCCACTATACAAAAACGATTTTCAACACGAAGTAGATATTTTTCTCAACAACTAGGAAAAAAAAGATACCAGTTAAACCTCACTGACTAGTCTCATAAGGGCAGTTACTTCTGTGAATAATGAAAATGCAAAAAACATCATGTTTGACCCAAGACATAATTACGATTAAGAGCCGCCTGTCTTAGCAAAATTGGAGTAGATAACTAAATGTCAAATTTGAAGAAAAAATGTATTAAAAATCTCATATGCAGTATTAAATGTTGGAGAAACCAGTTTGATTTGTAAGCGAAGTTATTGATTACCCGCTCAGTCACATTAAATACTGAGCTTCATGATGGTCGGATGTTTGTTGCTAAAAAAGGATAAAGTAAGGCATGAACTGAAACTTCGCGGGAAATTAATTTCGCAATATTGGCGAGGAGCTGTATCGCGGGGTTATATTTTGGCGATTTCAAAAGGCAAATATGAAAAAGGGGCATTGACTTTCGTGATTCACGCGTCCTAGTATTCTGAGGAATATATACGAATAGAGCGAAATCTTTCTTTGCAAGTTAACGTCATTTCAGAGCAAAAGATACAAAATAGAAGTTACCAGCTAATAATTTTAGTATTTGTCGATGCGTACATATCCTTTATATGTTTTGGTGTTACAAATTTATTCTTTTAGTCAGCGACTTGAATTTTCTCAAGAGAGCTTATTTCGCGTATCTAAATTTCGCTTTGATTTTCATTCGCAGGTCTTTGATTTGGCGATTTTTTTTTTCAATCGCCCAAAAGGCGAAATGAAAGACCTACGAATTTAGGTACCAATAAGGTAGATATTTCTATGATGTTGTTTTATGGAAGTGTCAAAGAGTATTCGATGTGGAATTAATCTAAGGGTTGTGCATAGCTGTTAATTGATTCAGTAAAATTTGTGAGTCAACTTTATTATTTTCACCATCATGATTATTTGTCAGGCTTAGCGTTGGGTCATCAGGAATGCGACGGAAGTAACGACCCGTGTACAGGAGAATGCACCCCGACGGGCGGTTCAAACGAGCAGATTTGCAAACATGGGAATTATACTTGTAATCTGACATGTAGCCAAGAGAATGGTAAGCAAACTTGTATGGCTAAAAAATGTAATCTAGAATACAGCGGAAACAATTCTTCTCAGCGCTGCATCGGAGAAGTAGAAAGATGCAAAATGGATTGCAACAGAGGAGATTGCGATCAGCTTTGCAACGGGAAAGAATATTGCATTATGCAATGCAGTGGAAAAAAGTGTACTCAACGTTGCAATGGGCCGGCAAAAGGATGCAAAATGAACTGCAGCGGGGAAGAGTGTAACCAGTATTGCAACGCAGAAGAAGACTGCGATATGCAATGCAGCGGGGAAAATTGTACTCAGCGTTACAATGGGCAAGTAAAAAGATGTAATATGAAATGCAGTGGGAGAGAGTGTAAGCAGTATTGCAAAGGAAAAGAGAGTTGCAAAATGCAATGCAGTGATGGAGAAGTGTGTAATCAGCTTTGTAACGGAGAAGGAGACTGCATTTTGCGATGTAATGGGGAAGGGTGTGATCAGCGTTGCAGCGGGCAAGCGAAAGGATGCAATGTAACATGCAGCGGGAAAAGATGTAATCAGTGTTGCAACGCACAGGTAAAAAGTTGTAATATGCAATGCAGCGGAAAAAACTGTACCCAGGATTGCAAAAGGCAATTAGATAAATGCAATATGCAATGCAATGGGATTATTTGTGAACAGACGTGTCATGCTCACACATGTAACATGACAAGGTATGGGCCCAGGAATAGATTAACTAAACAGATCTGCAGAAGCGGTAATGGCACATGTTATCAACACATTATGATGCAATGCAGCATGGGAAGCTTTGATATCAACTGTTACAGAAGTGGTCGATGCATAGCCTCCAAACGGCTCAATAGTGACTGCAGCCCTTCAATTTTATACACGTCCAACGTCGTAAAATCAGCCTCGATAACAACAATACAAGTTATCGCAACTCCAACTTCAACAGTACAAGGTAAACAAAATTACCAGGCTTGCAGTGACTGCCCTCGACCGAAAATGATGAAAAGATAACAGTAATAATAATAATGATGATGATGATGATGATGATGATGATAATACAAATAATACCAATAATAATGATGACAACGACGAGGACGATAATAAATTAGATAAACTTGTTTCATTACAGTGGATACTAACTGCTCATCTCCATACGAGTAATCAAAACAACTGTAGCAGAGTGGTCATAAAAGCAAATCAAATTTAGAACAGAATTTGAAAGCAGCTCAGCAATTATTCTAAAACAGTTATTCGCCTCAGGCTCCGTGAATATTGTTGAGTAATCCTTGAGACTCTGATGGTCGAATAATGATGATATTAATAAAAATAACCATAATAACAATAATTATAATACTGGTTAAGAATGTATGAAAGTCATATATTTGAACTGCGGATAAAGACATGAATGAAAGTGATCCTCGCAGTAATGTGCACTACTTAGGCAGTAGTGAAAATAAGGCCTGAAAAAAATTCAGAGATTTGAACCCGTGACCTCTGCGATACCGGTGCAGCGCTCTACCAACTGAGCTAAACTGGGAGCTGGTCATGATGTTGTTGAATTTTTTTCAGGCCTTATTCTTATTCTCAACCGTTTATTCATCACTTCACGGGTTTATTCAGAACCAACATGACCAGCTCCCAGTTGGCTTGCTAGCTCAGTTGGTAGAGCGCTGCACCGGTATCGCAGAGGTCATGGGTTCAAATCCCGTACAGGCCTAAATTTTTTTCAGGCCTTATTTTCACTACTGCCTAAGTCGTGCACATTGCTGCGAGGATCACTTTCATTCACAATTATAATACTTGTACAAATAAATATAATGAGAACAATGTCAGAATTTTTTGCTCCACCAAAAATTGTTAAGACCCCTACATGAAATATCCCACTTAGATTTCTCGTGTTCCAAACTCCTAGTAGTTGATTGAAGCATAATTTGAGATTGTCTGAATTAATTTTGACCATGACTTTTTATTTTCATATACAGCTCCTTTGCTATCATCATCACCGAAATCATTTTTAGTATTGGTACCATCACCATCGTCGTTATCGTCATCATTATCGTTTTCGTTACCACCGTCGCTTTCGTCATCGTCATTTCCACCTCGGACAACTCCGTTATCGCCGTTGGAAAGCATTGAGAAACTGGTACGTATTGAAAGTTATTTTAACTGTAAACTCTCCGCTAACGAACACTCTCGTAAGCGGACAGCTCTCTAAATTGTTTCTTCTATTCCCGTTTTGCTTCCCAGTTAGATTCTGTATTCTCTCTTTCTTGTAAGCGGACACTCTCTCGTAAGCGGACGCGGACACTTTTTAAAGTGGAAATTGAATTTTTCCTTTGTTTTCATTCTCTCTTCATCGGACAAGCGATGCATACTAATGGCCTCTTGGCGATAAAATATTTTTCAACGAAAATATGTCCCTTTACAGAGCAACAGAATAGAAAGGATCCGTTTGATGAAATATTCATTTGCCTGTGAGAGAGCATGCTGCCCGTTTGTCTAATATTAACACTCACCCGTCAGCGGGCATCCCCTACTCTTCTTTTGTGTCCGCTTATAGCAAAAATTTTCCGTAGGCGGAGAGTTCTGTTAACGAACTCTTTTTTCAATTTCTGAGAGTGGTTGCTTACGAGAGAGTTGATGATATCTTTTTGTTCGCAAGTTTCAAGTCTGTGTTCGTCCGTCAACTTTGATAACTTTTTTCATCCTAGGTAAACGCATCTGTTTCTGAATTTAGTAGAATAGAAATCAGCAGAAACAGCTCCATGCAGGTATCTGAATTAACTAATGACTTATGTATCTTTAATTTTGATCTTAAATTTCATTGCTATTCTTGATAATTGACATTAATCGTTTAAACGCAGAAATAGATATTCAAAGGAATTCAAGTCAGAGGATTAGGTTTAGAAACACCATGAAAAAGACGCAGGGACCTGTGAAACGACAGCTCTCTCAATGAGGGTTAAGCTTGTTCAAGGTATTAATTTCCGTAGATGAGCACTGAAAACGTGAGGCAAGCTATAGAAAAAAACGTGAGGAGACTAAGTTGAGCGGCGAAACAACAGCCTGATATAACCGATTTTCGCCCGAGTCCACTGACCTCTGACGCTGACCCAGGTTACTAATGGTGATAAAAAATCCACAAATTCTTTCTGTTCAATAAGCATTATTTTACAAAGCGAGAACTAGTGGGGGAAGTAATTTCTGACCAACTTTTTCCTTCTCTATTAGTTGTACGTTGTTGATGCTATTGGATTGTAAGACACCTGATTTTCTGTAACATTGATGAAGAGTATTTCATTTGCAATTACAGGAGGCAATAAGTTTGTTGGAAGACTTCACCGATCGGTATATTAACTTTTCAAAATCTCATAAAGGAGAACTTGGTGTAGGAGAGGTTAAAGCAGTAACAGAATCCGTTTTTAGAGTGGCAGTCGCCTTCGAGGAATTTGCTCTTAATTACGGTAAATACCATCTGAGTGGAACAGAGCCTTCAAAAACGATCGTGCGCCAGAAAATGGGTAAGTTGAAATACAACCCCACTTTAGATTCATGAAAATTTGTCTATCACTTACTGATCTATCGAGCTTTTCTCTAATTGAATGGTCTCACTGCTCCTTGGGTCAAATTACTGCGTCTGAATAGGAATGAGGTTAGGGGCCTAATTTGCAAATAGTGAAAATCTCCTGCTTAACATTTTGTTTCAATATCCGAAATTTGAATATTTAGAGAAATTAAAAGTGAACGATCTTTCACATATTTGATTACTTTCTGTGGCGCGGTATGTTTTCTATAATCGAAAAGCAGAATGGCGTGTAATACCCCATTTACACGAAAGTTTAAACACGTTTTAACCCTTTAACCCCCAAGATCTGATGGTTAATTCTCCCCTCCAGCTGCTACACATTTCCTTGTAAATTAGTTATAAGAACTTGGTGCTAGATCAAGATAGCAGCTTCTACCTGATAAGTGCAAATATTCTCATTACTTGTTTGCTAAATAGTGCATAGATATTATTGGGAGAATCACTTCTGGGAGTTAAAGGGTTAAAGCTGTTTTGTTAAAACGGTTATAAGTTAGCGACTACTTGAATCCTATAGAAAATCTGTTTTTTCAGTTCTCTACTTCTGATTTTAATTTAGTTACCCGGTTGAACTGAGACATGTTTTACTGATGTGAATAGGTGATTAGTTACTAGTACACAGTGAATTATGTACAAATTCAAGTTTCTTGATAAACGTAACCACTTGTATCATGTTTCTGCAATTTCCTAAATCCAATTAATTGCCAACTAATGTTTACTTTCTTCCGACAGTTTTAAGTATTCAGAAAGGTTACCGCCAGAATACGACCGACTTCTCTCTCGAGGAGAACGAATTGCAAGCCACCATTAATATTTCCTCTGCAAATTTTGCGGAGAATGGTTTGTTTCATCTTTAAAGTACATCCTTCTGTTTCTTTATTTTGTATTTCATAATCTTAATACTTCTAAAAATGAGTAATTTACTGGGGTAATTTTTTTTTGTATTTTTGTTTTTTGTTTCCAGAGTTTTTTAATTTGAATTACGCCCGCTATAAACTTTGAAATGTTTGTTTGCTTGATCATTTGTTTATTAGGATCAGTCGTAATAGGGTGTGTCTACAGAGAACTCCACGAATTACTTCAAACAAATCAAGACATCGAAAAAGAAAATGGCAATTCAAGGTGACATTTACAGCTAAAATAAGTTCAAACTGTTACATGATCATGCAATGCGTCATTTTCCGAAGAGAATCCACAATTCAATAGGCGCATAGTGAATAAATTATCTTAGAGATAGTTAGGACACGATTTTCTTTACAGGTATGTGAATACCAGGATAGTGACTGTAGCTTTGGATCCCGCGCCCGAAAAATTACAACAGGATGTCATCTTGAAGTTCAAAAACTTGAAGGTAACATAATGAACACTGAATGCTTGACTAAGTTCATCTTCGTTGCGTTGGGTTAGTTCAAAAGTAAATAACATCTCTTTTAGGTCGATGAAGGAGAGAAGCATTGTATGTTTTGGAGTGGCCTCAGCAAGAGGTAAAAAGTAGCCACTATCTATTTTTGTTAAAAAATCATCTGCTATTTGGGTCCAAATTTCAGCAGAAAATTGGAAAGTATCAGTTGAACGGTTATTCGGAGCGTAAGTAGCCCTGAATTTCAGAAGACATTTTCAGTAACAATAACAAATGTTTTGGACAACCAAAGGTGAATTCTTACCTTTAAGTTATCAGTAACTGGGAAAAAAATATGCAAGTAACAATAATCACATACTCATAACTTTTAGTCATTAAATGCCAATTCGAAGGGAGTCAGCACTCTGAATGATGTTCGAAACTCCGAATTGTTATTCAAAAACATAAACTCTTTTTTTCAGTCCAGACGGGTTTTCAGGAGATGGTTGTTATGTAGATCCAATAAAGAGCAACTCAGAAGACACAGTTTGCAAATGCAATCATCTGACTCATTTTGCTGTCTTAGTTGACTTCAGCGGTGGCCCAGAGGTATTTTTTTACTGTTGTTGTAATTTTCTTCTTCGTGATAAGTGTGTTGGGTCAATTAATCCACTGTTCATTTTAACTTTGCCATAGCTCTCATCCAAGGACGTCACTATTCTGGAGATCATCACATACGTGGGATTATGTCTTTCCATCATAGGAATTCTTTCCACAATAACTTTATACTTTTTACTCACGTGAGTGCTATTTCTAAGTAATCAGTGGTTTATTTTCTAACAGAACTAACGACGTTAAATAATACCGGCGTTCAACAAATGGTGAGCAACACCCACTACAAGAGGCTGTCAACCATCATATATTTTCAGTCGCTTCAAAAATAGTTCGAAATAAACATAACAATAATTTATGGGCAATGTTTTTTACAATTTCCATACACTCACTATGTTGTAAAATTTATGAGTCGCTATTCATATCACGTTTGGTTTTCAGTGCTTGTTTGTTTGTATGTTGTTCCTACCTTTAATGGTTACTTGATTTGTTTGACCTCGCTCTTCCTTTGCGTTTCTGCTGATTTATCATACTTTTATTTATATACATATTAACATCAATACGTGTTTAATTTTCACCAGAGATATTCGACAACCTCTGTCTCAAATACGACTAAGTCTTTCTGTGTCCCTTGGAGCTGGACAAATAATCTTTCTTGCTGGAATAAAAGCTACAGAAAAAACGGTGGGTGGCTCTCTACCATACGTGGTTTTTATTCGAAGACATCCTCCTTGAATGAAATGTGAAAAAAGGTATTTCCCCCTTTCTTTTGAAGGCTATTTGTGTCACAGTGGCAGCTATAATGCAATATTTCCTGATGGCCGCCTTCTGTTGGATGCTCGTCGAGGGAATCTACCTCTACCTGTTTGTTGTGAAAGTTTACAACATCAACACCAAGATGCACATGTATCATGTCATTTCATGGGGTATTTTGATTTTTCGGTTGAATTTATCAAACATTGTTAGGGATTATTTTGTTACCTAATTGTATCAAGCTTATTAACTCTTAAATTTCTTGATAGGTTTGCCAGTCATTATGGTTGCCACTTCACTGAGCATCGCTGCTGAAAAAGATGGGATACAGAGCTATACTAGCGATGAATAGTAAGGGCGCATCTTAACTTTTTATTACTCATTTTTGTTAATTTTTTTTGTTCAATTTTTAAAGTTTGTTTCGCTCTAATGTGATTATATATCCTTCCTATCCTTATTATTTTCATTAATCTCCTTCTTAATCTTAATCTTCATAGGCCAGCCTACGAACTACAGTTTCTTTCATTGAACAAATGTTACTTAAGAAAGTAACATACAAAGCAGGAATATTGTGGGACCTAATTTTTCTCTTTTCATCTTTCTTCCCCCATTTTTTCCCCTTTAGCTGCTGGATGTCCTCAAATGACAATTTGATCTGGACATTTGTCGCATTTGTCATTATTATTGAAGTTGTAAGTTTTGCATTTGAATAAATGTTTTCTTTTGACATTATTGTGAATGACTGTGTGCAACAGCCATACTTCATTACAAAATTCTATTCATATCTTCCTCTTTAAGATCAACATTTTGATACTCGCTCGAGTCACAAGGGAGATGGCCAAAATGCAGCCAACAGGAGACAAGCAGATTCTGCAAATACGGTATGATGGATCTTCCAAATTACGTAAAAAAAAAAAA